ATTTGGGTGCCGCAGTAAATTGTGATATCGAACAGCAAAGAATAAGAAGCAAACAGTCATAGGGAACAGAAAATCAATGGGGATTCTCAGTTTAGTGCTGACACAGCATCAGGCCACAGTTACTGAGTGCACACGCACACACAAAACTTAAAAGGGATGGAGAACACCTGGTAAGGAGCACACTGTTGTATCGTGAGAGGCAGAATAAAGGATTTTGTCCATAAAATATATACAATAAAAGAGAAATATCTGACGCAACAAAACAGTCAAATGCTGCAACTGAGGGAAGAAAATAAAAAACTTCTCGCACCAGTTTAGGAGCAGCACTATGCGCGTGTGTGTTACGTGGGAGGCCGCTGATTCCATTAACCAAACACAAAGCAATGGGCCTAAACAGGAAGCTTCACACACTCCAGTCTGATCCATGTGTGTTCCATTTTCGTACAAACATCCTTCCTGAATGATTATTTTGAGCTCCGTCAGCATTTTCATTCCGTACACAATGCAACACTCACATCCAGAAGCCTGCTGCCTAATTAACCAACACACCCGGACAGACAATCACACTCACACACTTGTACAGTGAGTAAACACAGCCATTTGGAGGTGTGATAGACTTGTGGTTGACTATACACTACTGGGTTGTTAAAAAAGCCCAATCTAACACCTCCAACCACACACTGCGTGATATGAAGGTCAGCGTTTCAATAAGATTGCATATATTTTCATTTTCTCTATTCCCTCTTCCTCTAGCTGCATTAGAGTTGGTGATAAACAAACCACACCTCTTTCCTTATCTCTGTTCTATGTGATCATAAAGGAACACAAAAATTAAAAGTAATCTGACTTTGCTCACAATTACAAATGCAGGCCAAGCACAGAGCCTCACAAAACACAAAGAGACACATCCACAGTCCTGCACTCTGTCAACACTTTTCCCATTGTGTGTCGGGGAACGCGGTGATTTACCCTAAATCATGTGTTTGTCGAGCTTTCTTCTAAACACCGAGCACAGTCGTGCACACACGAGCAGCCACAGTTTCACTTTAGCGCAATAGGCACTCCTCCCTCATCAGGATGACAGATCAACACGATATGTGCACAGCTGAATGAGTTTATTAGTCCGTTTGGACAATCATAACAGTCTGCGGCCTTTTGAAGATCGTGCCAGTGCATGCTTCATCAAGTCAACAGTTTTTTAGGCATTTATTCAGACATCACCAGACAGCATGGCTCCTCCTATTCTTCCTAGATTTGTCAGTCATAGTCTAAAATGACAGTAATCAACGCACATTATAAAGGCAACAAACACACCAACTTTGGAGCATTCCCAGATGTGCTGACCACAGCAGGCGCTTAGGTTCCAGACAAAAAAAAGGTCAAGAAAAATTAAACATCTGTCAAACACCTTGAAAGATTAAGCACCTCCTAGTTTCCACTGAAATCGTTCCCAGGGCCTGCGTTAAAGTGCTGAAATGGTCTGGGAAGTTTGGAAAGAGAGTGGTGCCAGAGTGACAGTCATTGGACCAGAGTGCTTTTTAGAATAGCATTGTTCCGAATGCCCACCGGCCCCTGTGCTGGGGTCTGCACGGGCTGCGTTTTAGATCATCAGCACCAGGTCACCGGGTGCAGCTTTTTTCACTCAGAAATAAAGCTTCCAAAAAGAGGTATGACAAGTCTACAGCCACTACATTTTCTTTCCAGCAGCTCGATTCCATGCCACCACCCTAATTCAAGTTTCACCCCTCGAGATGCTGTGTTTGATGTGCATCCGGCTCTCCACAGACATTTCAAGCCTTCGTATTGGCGTGATGTCCCCGCTTAGCCTCACTGCTCAATGGTTTGACTTCTCATTTGATCAAACGATGTGTGGGCGTAATGTTGAGCAGAGACATTACTATAACGCTAAAGGCTGGTGAAACAGAAAATCTGCATGTGATCATATAAGAAGTACTTTTTCTTTTCTTTTTTAAAGGTGAACATTAGGGGCTTTGGACTATGGGCATCATCACATACACACATACTTCAGCTGCTTCTACAGTGCTCTCCCAGATGTTTTCTTTAGTCTTTTTCTCACCGCATTGCTGAGCTACTGAGGTGTCAAGCATGCATATAGCATCTATTTTAACACCTTGAAAAACAGTGTGTGTGTACGTACGAAATATACACACACCTGTGTAGCATTTTAAACTGTGTTTTAAGAAAGTGTAGAAATAAAACAATTCAGTCTTCATCAAAATCTTTATGTGGACACACCTTCTCAGCTTGGTGGATTCATTTGCAAAAGTTGAATAGTTTTCTCCATGATGCCTCTATTTGTACTTCAGCTTGCAAAGTCTACTCTTACGGTCTAATTCCAGCAGACACTCGGGTAGGAATGAGTCCTTCTCTGCTGGCTGTATCTGCAGAGATTGAGATGTGATGTTTAGCTGCTTCCTGTATTGCTCTCGTATAATCTATATTACAGAACCTCTAACAGCAGTGCCAGATACACAACATCTGCAGACAGCCCTGTACAAAACACACGCACACACATACAGTACCTAAAAAAAAAAAACTATGTCGATGGAGGTTCGCTCTTTCATATGTTTGTTTCCAAAAAATGAGGACCTTACTTGGAAAAAGAAATGTGGTGAGGGAAGAGGCCGCACAATGTAGTTGTTCACTGGGGAGCAGTGAAGTAACTGACAGAAGAAATCAATGCAGAGGGTCGATGGACAAACATTAAGTCCACATTCTGACAAACATGGTAGACAGCTCTCACAATGCAGCACAGATAGAAAGTCTTTACACAGGCTGCGGAGCATAAACAGCAGAGTAAAAGGAGGCCGAGGCAACATTAAAGTCTTTGTGCTGACAGCCATAGGAGTTTTCCAATTGGGATGCAAACAATGGGGAGAGGTTATTCAGAGGAGAGCACCAGAGGGACACGTTGAGCTGCTTTGGTCCAAACAGAAAATGACGTTAATGTCCACTGACTCAACCCCCGTTCTGGATTCATACAGTGGATTCATACGGGGTCCTGGTTGTGTGTGTATTTATGGGTTCTCTCTGGTCAGGCCAGCTCCCTCCCAGAGTCCAAAATCAGGCGTGTTAGTTTAATTGAAATGTTTAATTAAAGCGTGTGCATGGTTATTCGTCTCTGTGTGGTCATGTGATGGACTGGACACCTGTCCATGGTGTGCCCCGCCTCTCCTCCAATGTCCTGCAACCCTTTTCAGAGTAAGTGGTATGAATGGATTAATTTGAATGGTTCATTGAAGGGAATAATAGCATGAGGGGAGACTTAAATGGATATTGAGGTGACCTCAGTTTTACTTAGCAGAAAATTCTATTTTCAAAAAATCAATGACATTCTCATACATTCTGGGGTAAATGTATAATAATGTATTTTTTAAAGTAATGCAACAGACACAGAAGACACGTTAGGATTCACTTTGCTGACTACTTGCCTTATCTGTTTAACTGTTACCGTTTTTACACATGGCTCTGGATGTTAACACCAGAAATTCCAGTTTGACAACTAAACAACCAACGCGTCTCTCCATAACTGAAACAATTCCTGAAACAATGACCCAGTGAACAGCAGCACCGCTGACTGTCAGTGGTGGCTGAATGAATGTGACTGGGGCGAAAAACTGTCGACTTGCTCCTAAAAGGAAGTGAGAAGAGGGCAGAGATGAAACAGGCAGTGGCCCATGTCATCAGGTGACCTGGCACCAAGCAGCACGCTGTTCACCCCC